ATTTTCACGCGCCGCCAAACGCGTTTCAAGTTGATTAATTAGATTTTCATTATTATCATCATTTCCTTTAAGTTCCATAAGTTGTTTTCGGAGATCACTAATTGTCTCTTGATCTTTTTTATATTCTTCGGAATTAATTTTAATTTTAGCTTCAAGATCTTGAATATAATATTCAGTTGTAGTTTCACGTTCATGAAGTTTTGAAACCTTATATTTAAGATCATCAATTAAACTTTTACTTTCTTCTCTGAATTTTTCAGCATCTTGAAGTTTTGCTTCTTGTTCTAGCATTGAAACTTCAGTGTGATTTAAAGCGGCACGAGCAAGCGCAAGTTGACTTTCTAAAGAAGTAATAGATTTTTCGTATTCCATGACAACTGGCCTGACAGCATTTTGAAAATCAGATGATTGAGATTTCTTAACAGTCATCTCATCCTCTTCTTTAATGGTTGTTAAAGATGAAGAGGTAGGATTTGACGGAATGTTTGTACTATCTGAGACGTTTTGATGTACTTCAAGTTCGATTGATTTTTTCGCATAATTTTGTGATAATTCATTATAAGAACGTTGAAGCTCTGCAAGTTGTTCCTCAAGAGCTTCAATATCCTTATTATTTTGAAAGTTTTCGTCAGTGTTAACGTTGGTATCGATATGTAACGGAGTTTTTGAATTAGGAATTGGACTATCAGGTGAGTCACTTCCATTATCCAATTTATCCAATGTATCCTCACCAGAAACATTCAATGATTTTAAATTTTTAATTTCGGATCTTAATTTTAAAACAAGATTTTGTAAATGTTCCAAGTCATTCCATCCGGCTTCTTCTTGCATAATTATCGCCGTATTTTTAATATTTCTAGCCCGGTTTGCATATTTAAGAGTATTTATTGTTTCACCAACATTATATTCTGCTGGTGAAACACAAGCAATCATTAATGTTAACGCATTACCACCAAGAGAGTCTTGTAATAAACGTGTAAGTTTAGAATCTCGATATGGGATATGAGTTGTGTTCTTTGCCTTAGTTGGATCACCCAAAGCAGAAATTACATTTCCTAAGGCAAGCAATCCAGAATTGATAGATATACCCTCTTTTATACGTTCACCATTTGTTGATGTACGCTTAAGCTATGAAAATTTAAAAAGATTAGTTAGGTCTTCAAAATTTTTTTAAAAGGTTTTATTGCACTGACGATCATTTCATTTTTTTTTTTTTCAAAAAAAACTTTGAATTTTAAATATATACTTTAAATGACATGTGATTGGTCAACTTGATTAAATGATTGTCAGTGACACGAAAGGTTTAAGTACATACCCTTTCACTACCGGCTAAATCCACAAAGTGAAATTTGCTTGTTACAGAAACCCAAGTGCCATCCTCAAACCTCCTACTTAATCTTGAATTTGACCTTGACTGTGAACCAGATTTTGAGTCTGAAAATGCAGTAATTGTCGAATTCGTTGACGGGGTAAGAGGCAACGGACTTGCACATAACTCATTAGTAGGTATAAATTTCTTTTGAGAAAGAATAACCGTAAAAATTGCATGAGATCGAGAAGATTTTGCATTCATATCCGTCGCGCCAACTTGTCGATTTAATGAGCCGCGTGATAAATGGCTTTAAAAATAATAATTATAATAAATTATTATTACGCTAAAAGATAATACGTACGATTTAAAATTAATTGGTAATTCGTTTCCGAATAAGGGAATCATATATGACCATATATAGTAAATTGCGACGCGCGGATATGTTTTACTATAAAAATTTGTTAAGCCACAAATGCACTTCACCCAAAACGGTCATTTTTTTACTAAGTAAACGTCTTTTCAGCTTTTAAGTTTAGAGCATGATTTTTTGATGGTTAAATCAACTAAATAAGCCCGATAGATCCTGAGAAATCATCAAAAAACCTTTAATCGACTATATAAAATTCAGCAATTACGTAGAATTTTATATAGTCGATTAAAGGTTTTTTGATGATATCTCAGGATCTACAACTTTACCTAGAGACATCACTTAGTAGAAAAATGACTTTGCTTTGTGGTGAAGTGACATTTGTGGATAGCAATTTTATAGTAAAATTTGTAGTCATGTGCATCACAATTTACTATATATTCGGAAACGAATTATCAATTACAATACATAAACGCATAGAGATTAATGTTTACCCCATAACCTCACTGACACTATTAACTTTAATTTCTTGTAATCCACTTAATGATATACTTCCGCTGGGATCTTCTCTAATCAAGAGTTGTGGTTTATCCTCATCACTACCTTCAGAAAGTAGGTCAATAAGATCTTCATTATATAATTCCACAAAGGATACTCTCATCGAGAATTTACGTTGTTTATATTGAACCGAATTTATCGCAGAGAAAAGGGAGGTCATTGCACGTGGAATTATACCCATTGATTCTGGGGGTGAAGTAAAGTCATTAGATGTTCCCATTGTATGAGTTTTACCCGATGAAGTTTGGCCGTACGCTAGAATCGTTACGTTAAAACCTATGGTTGGAAAAAAAGAGGAATATATTTGTTAATTAAGACTTTATACATAAGAATATGTAACACCAATAACGTCACGCGTTAACGAAAGTAAATTTTAAATTCAGTTGCTATGTTTTAGTTAGACAGTCAGATTCCCCTTGTTCGTACCAGTTCTAAGTTGATTGTTAAGTGCGTACTGGACGTACAAAGTACAAGCCAGAATCTTCCAGTTCGAATAGCGAAAGGTTCCGAATCAAGTTGCCAATCCTGGCCTAAAGTTGTGACCCGAAACCCGAAACTATATATAAAATCCCGAAACCGAAACCGAAACCGAAACCCGAAACCCGAAACCTTTCCGAAACTCTATCACTATATTGAAAGGCTTAGAAATTTGATTTTAAACTTTGAGACTTAAAGTATATGATAATTAGATTGCATTTCAAGAATGGTTTGATTACTTTATAGTAAATGTTAATTAGTTATTAACATTCTAATTTGAAGGTTTCGGAAAGGTTTCGGGTCACAACTATAGAATCCTGGCCCAATACGCCCAATCCTTAAAATCAATTCTTTTCCTAAAACTACAAATCTAATTTGCTGACTTTCCTTATCCACACCGTGTCATCATTAATTTTTTACGTGTCATTTAATTAGTTTAAAGTTATATTAACACTTACCATCTAAAAATTTATCGACCATTTTCTTTATCGCACGTTCGTATACTTCTTTTTGGTTACATTCTTGACCAAAAACATAGTCAAATGTAAAGTTTTGTTTTTTCTCATGTCGTACCGTGACTTGGTTTGGAGCGTACGCCGCAGTGGAGAGAACATTACGTTGAAATCGTGCTGGTATGTTAATTAAGTCTTCTGGAGTTAAAGGTCTTATTCGAAGAGCTAAGAATAAAAAAAAAAAAAAAAAAAATCAAAGATACAAATTGATATAAAATTGTGATAGACCAACGAAGAAATATTTAAATTGTTCCGCACTTACCGACTTGTATAGCGGTATCTTCATTTGTTGTTGTATTAGACATTTCAACACAAATTGCAATTCGAAAGAGATTCTTTGTTAAGAATGAATACGGGCCGGTTTTTCAATGATTAAAGATTACGTAAATGGCGAATTTTTTTCGTTAGGTGCCAGCCCAATGTGTAAAAGTGTTAAATGGACCAAATGGAATTCGAACTGTACAGGGAGTGTATTAAGAATTAATGTTCTAACTCTTCTAAATCTAAAGTAAAATTGATTTTATTAACAATGTAATTATTACTATAAACAAAAATGAAGGATTTTTTCTTTTCTTCGCATTGATTTCTTGCAGGATACACGGTTATGTTTTTTTTTTTTTTATGTTTTTATGATTATTATTAGTATTACTATTACTATTTTTTTTAATTTTTTTTTTTTTTTTTTGTAGGTCGTTCCAAATCGATGTCGTTAACTTGAACGAATGAATGTGAATAGTTGGGAATGGATGAGAGTGATGAAAAGGAGTGTTAAAGATGGAAGAGCTGCCGACGTTGTGTAAACTGCGAGGCAGAAA